GTCTTCCAAATCCTTTCATTTTTTTTTCTTTTGTGTCAACCTGGGAGCATCTGAAGGACGTCATTGAAGTTAGCCAGATGTAGAGGGATAAGTGACATGATCTCACTTGCTGGCGGTATCTAAAAACCTGGAATCCTAGGAGCAGACGAAGGGTACTTCCAAGAGGTGACGGTGACGAGGGGAGGGGGGGGAGATCGAGGAGACATTGATCAAAAGACACACAACTTTCAATTACAGAGATGGCAAGATGGCTCAGTGGGCAGCGATGCCCCATATGCACAGGTCCCAGACAGGAGTGGGAACAAAGGCAGTCTCTCACCTAGGTGTCCATCCTGAGATTTTGTGGACCATGCTGACATGGGTGAAGACGGGACAGCATGGTGTACACGGCGAAGGGACTAAGGAGGGCCAGGGAGACAGCCCGCCCAGTGTGTAAAAATCACCACCACCCAAGTCTGACAAATGGAAAGGCAGGCAGTGGTGGCGCCCGGCTTCAGTCCCAACACACGGGAGGTAGAGGCAGACGGATCTTTGTGAGTTCGAGGCCAGCCTGATCTAAGAGTTCCCGGAGAGCCAAGGCTACCCCTGGGTGGTGGTGGGGGGGGGGCGGGGAGAGCCTGACAAGCCCAGGAACCCACATGGTGGCAGGAGAGAGCTGACTCCTGCAAATTGTCCTCTGACCTGCACATGATGGCCACAGTACATGAACTTAAAACGTGCGATAAGAATAAACACGACTCTAAAACTTTGCCCACCTGAGGGTGTATTTGGCAGTGGAGTGGACTAGGTTAGAGACGGGGGTGGGGGGGAGAAAAATCATGTCTGTTGTTAGTGAATTACACTGTGCAAACAGAGAGCCCTGGGCTTGGGGAGAGAAGGCAGCCACAATTCACCAGTTTCCCTCCCCGGCAGTCCGAGGGAGGTGGAGTTCAGCTCTCAAACCAGCAACGGAATTTTCCACTGAGCTAAAAAACGCCAGGCTCCGTTCCGAGAATTATATACCTCCCTGTGTAATTAAGGACGGAAAAAGGTCTCGCTTAGACACAAAACAATGCGGACAGTCTTCTGAGACGTCTGTTTAAAATCACATCTGTCCAAAGAGCCATCTGCTTTGCAAATTTCCCATTGATTGTAGCCTTCGTTTTCATCCAGAATTTGAGAGCTGACAACATTGAATTTTATAATCTGCAGGCTTTATTGCTTGGGGACGCGGGGGCGGGGAGGGGAGTGCCAGGAAGGCGAGACAGGGGGTGAGGGTCTCTTTGGGAGCCAACATTGGCTTCGGAACTATGTGGGGCAGGCTGACTTTGAACTCTCAAGATCCTCAGCCTCCCAGGACTGAAATTTGCAGGAGTGTGCCACCATGCCTGGCAATTAGGTTCTTGAGAAGTGTTTATGGGCGTCTGGTACGAAGTCAGAGTTTGATGGGGTACATTAGAGCGCTGATTTCTTTGGTTGATACAGTTTTAATTAAGCATTTTGTGTTATAATCTGGGTCCTTTTATTTGTAGATCATCATCACTATTAAGTTTGGGAATTTGGGACGTTGTTTTTGTTGCTGTTGTCCTTGTTTTGAGGCAAGGTATCACCTTGGAGAACAGGGTAGCCTCAAACTCTGAGATCTGCCTTCCTCTGTCTCTGGAATGCAGTGTGTGCACCACCATGCCCAGCTGTTTGGCGTTTTTATTTTATTTTATTTATTCACTTTTTTATAATTTTCTTTTAAAGACTTATTTATTACGTATAGTGTCCTGCCTGCATGTATCCCTGCAGGCCAGAAGAGGGCACCAGATCTCATTACAGATGGTTGTGAGCCACCATGTGGTTGCTGGGAATTGAACTCAGGACGTCTGGAAGAGCAGTCAGTGCTCTTAGCCTTGAAGCCATCTCTCCAGCCCCTATTTAGCTTGTTTTTTTCTTTTTTTTTTAAACATGTTTTTACATAGTTCATGCTTGCTTACAACACCCAATTCAGAATGAAGCCTGGTTTGGAAAACACAGGACAAACGGAAACAACAGGAGGCAGATGAGGATGGATCTCTGTGAGTTCAAGGCCAGCCTGGGCTACAAAGAGAGTTCCAGGACAACCAGTGCTGTTGCACAGAGAAACCCTGCCTCAAGAAATAGAACAGAACAAAACAAAACAAAGAAAAAGAAAGAAAAACAAAAACCTCCCCCAAATCACTCCACACAAACCCCAAATTTTAAATTGCTTCCCCCATGTTCTAGTTTGATTTTAGTTTTTATTTTTATTTATTTATTTTTTGAGGTAGGGTCTCATAGAGCTTGGATTATTTTGTTTGTTTGTTTGGCTGGTTGGTTGGGCTTTTCTTTTGCTTTGTTTCATTTTGAGAGGAGATCCCACCAGGTAGCACTGGATAGCCTGGAACCTTTAAGTAAACCACACTGACCTAGAACTCAAGAGACCCCTCTGCCTTGCTTTCCCATGACTGAGAATAAACTGGTGTGCCACCACACCTAGCTATTGGGCTGGTCTTGAATTCCACAAGTACTCAAGGATGGCTTTAAATTCCTCCTCCTCCTCCTCCTCCTCCTCTTCCTCCTCTTCCTCCTCCTCCTCCCTCCACCTCGTCCGTGGTGGGAATGACAAGGGTGTGCCACCTTGTCCCTCTTTCTTTCTGAAGTTGAGCTATAAAAATTGTTTATATTTCGGCTGGAGAGATGGCTCACAAGTTAAGAGCACTGGCTGCTCTTCCAGGGGACCCAGGTTCAATTCCCAGCACACACACAGCCGCTCACGGCTGTCTGTAACTCCATTTCCAGGGGATCTGAGAGCCTCACACCGACACGCGCGGGCAGGCAAAGCACCAATGCACATGAAATGAAAGTAAAATAAGAGCATAAACTTTAAATTAAAAACTACATATCTTTACAGTTCGCAGCGTGGGTGCTCTGATATATGCGTCATATACGCGTCAGTCAAGCTACTGACAGAGCCATCACTTCCCCTTGGTGAGAACCTGCAAAATCTCCCCTAGTAATTTCCGAGCAGCGTTGTGTACTCAGTAGAATCACGACACTGTGCCGAATGGACATGCTCAGAGGCCAAAACCCCTCCATCCACAGACAAGCAGGCCAGGGTGAGATGGAGCCAGGGTGTGAACTCAAACCCCAACGCTCTCCAGGCCCGCTGCTGTGCTGCTGTGCTGGCCTCGTGAGCACTGAGTGCAGTCTAAAGTGCATCTACCCTTATCTGCTAGGGCAAATGGGTTGAAATGCTTTAGACCACAGCAGCCAAAGAGGCCCGCGGTTCCCCAGGCTTGCTCGAACTGTTTCAGTCAATGTCCTAGTGCGCCACCCTATGGCAGCTGGCCGCAATTACTGGTGACTGTCCTTTCAAAAATTCAATGAGAACAGGATTTATTTAGGCTTGTAACCCCAGCACTGAGAGGGTAGGGGATCTACGTAGTAAGTTCTAGGGCAGCCTAGGCTACATGAGAACGTCCCTTAAAAAAGAAAAGGAAAAAGAATTGGGAATGTGGTTCAATTAATAGATTTCCTCCCCAGAATGCTCAAAGCCTGTGTAGCTCTGGCTGTCCTGGAAATCATAAAAATTGGCCAGCATCTGCCTCTCCAGGACTGAAATTAAGGACCTGAGCCACGTGCTAAGACAAGAAATTTTTCTTTCTTTCTTTAAAAGACAGGAATTCTCTGTGTAACAGCCCTGGCTGTCCTGGAATTTGCTCTGTAGATCAGGCTGTCCTTAAACTCACAGATATATCCACCTGCCTCTGTCATTTGCCCTCCTGGCTGTGAAGTTTGACCATACTGCCTCAGCCTCCCAAGAAGATGAGATTACATACCTGAATCACTGGGTCCAGATATATTTTTGTTTTCATTTGATTTTTTAAAGTCATTTTCAATTTCAATCATTTTCCTACATATTTATTTTCTGTGTATAGGTGTTTTGTCTACAGGATGTTGCATTTTTCCTGCTGGGTTTTGCTGGTTCCTTGTTCTGATAATTCCTTGACAGCACTCCCTTCTTCATATTGGAATTTGGAATGTTTGTTCCAAATGGCTGTATTTCAGAAATATGTAGCTTGTTTGGTTTTAGTTTTTGTGGGCAGAGTTTCTCTGTGTAGCCCTGGCTGTCCTGGAACTCTCTATAAGTAGCCAGGCTGTCCTTGAACTCAGAGATCCACCTGCCTCTGCCTCTGCTTCTCATGCTGAGCGCTGGGATCAAATGCGGAGGGGAGGGGTGAGGGGGTTGGGGGGTGGGGGGTGGGGAGTGGGGGGTTGTCACCGCCTCCTGGTAGAGATATGTAACTCTTCCCAGGAGCTGCCAATGAGAACCTGCCCTGAGTCTCAGGGTTTGACAGGGACTTGGACTTGGTATTACTAGGTTTACTTAGTGTGTGTGTCTGTGTGACACCCATGGGTGCTGAGATCAGAGGGCCACTTGATTTGCTTCTCTCCCAACACCGTCACAAGGCTCCTAGGGATGGAACTCAGGTGCCAAGCGCCTTGCCCTGTTGAGCCATCTTCCCAGCTTCCACTTTGGGCTCTTAGACAGCATTGGGATTGTTAAAAGTCTACAGACCTTTGCAATGGGACTGAATGGATTCTGTGTAATTAAGTGCCTGAACATGTGGGATCAAGGCAAGGAATATTAGGGATTCAAAGCCATGTGCTTGGGTGTCTGGTTGTCCAGAGGTAGAGTTGGGATGGTTAATATCCCAACTCTAGGACCAAGTAGGAGACGGCCTCTGAACCCATCCATGGGCAATCACTAGATAAATAAACTTTCATGCAAGTCCATGATTATCCATCCTGGGTTATTTAAGGTGGGAAAACACTCCTTAATTGTGGATGTCACCAAACTGTGGAAGATGTCCTGGACTGAATACCAAGGAGATGTATTTACTATTGATTCATTTATCTGTAGTCTTAGAACCTTACCTATAAAGTGTTGTGGGAAAGTTCTTTTCTGCTGGTGTCTATTTGGGGTTGTAAATGCCTCCTGTATTTCTCCTTAGGTCTGCGTGTTTCCTGTTATAACTGAGGATCATCCTGCACTACAGAACAAAAAGGAGGAAAAGAACCTTAAGGTAATAATGCCAGTGTCTTTGGCACGCTAATGCATACCTGTAATCCCATCACTGAGGAGGCAGATAGAGCGATTCAAGGTCAGTCTGGTAGTCTAGTGAGTTCTGGGATGGTCAGGGATACATACCAAGACCCTGTCTCAGTAGAACAGAGAAGAAAAGGAGCACGTGAGATAGGGTTGAGAGAAAAAGAGGATGAGTTAGCACAGAAGAAATAGCAGGGACCACAGAAGAAAAGCAATAAGGCATGGGGGTGTCCTGCACTTTAATCCCAGCACTCAGGGGGCAGAGGCAGGTGGATGTCTGTGAGTTCGAGGCCAGCCATGGGTATGGTGAGATCTTTTCTAAAGAAGAAAAAGAAACCCGAAACATCTATAAAAACAATTACTGTAACATTAATCCATATCCCTTGCTTGTTGGGATGTGTATGGATTCTCATCCCACCAGTAGATTTCCTGTCTTTTCAAGCATGTTCATACATATACATGTATGGCTTATTTTATAGCTTATATGATATATATACATATATATATATATATGAATCTTACTACAGAGACGATCCTGAAATAAGGAATAAAAATATCTATGCCTTATCCCAGTACTGGGGAGGCAGAGGTTGCAGAACTCTGAGTTCAAGGCCAACCTGGTCTACAGAGGGAGTTAGAGGGCATCCAGGGCTACACAGAGAAACCCTGTCTCGAAAAACAAATATACAAATGGAAAATGTCGAGACACCTGGGAGTTCCCGGTGCATACAGTGGCGTCTCCTGTGAAAGACTCTTTTTGACTGTTATGTGACGGGATGGAAGACAGTAGTTGGGAGTCTTCAAGAAGTTTTTCTTCTTCTTCTTCTTCTTCTTCTTCTTCTTCTTCTTCTTCTTCTTCTTCTTCTTCTTCTCCTTCTTCTCCTTCTTCTCCTTCTTCTCCTTCTTCTCCTTCTTCTCCTTCTTCTTCTTCTCCTTCTCCTTCTCCTTCTTCTTCTTCTTCTTCTTCTTCTTCTTCTTCTTCTTCTTCTTCTTCTTCTTCTTCTTCCTCCTCCTCCTCTTCCTCTTCCTCTTCTTCTTCCTCTTCTTCTTCTTCTTCTTCTTCTTCTTCTTCTTCTTCTTCTTCTTCTTCTTCTTCTTTATCTCTGTCTCCTCCTCCTCCTTCTCCTCCTCCTCCTCCTCATCCTCCTCCTCCTCCTCCTCCTCCTTCTTCTTCTCCTCCTCCCGCTCCTCCCCTTTTTCCTCTTCATCCCTTTTCTAGGCAGGGTTTCTCTGTTGCTTTGTTACCTGTTCTGGAATTCACTTTGTAGACCAGGCTGACCTAGAACTCACAGAGGTCTGCCTACCTCTGCCTCTCAGGTGGATGTCTGTGAGTTCGAAGCCAGCCTGTTCTACAGAGCGAGTTCCAGAACTGACAGAGCTAGCCTCCCAGTCACAGATTCTCTTCCCTCTCCAGTTGTGAGATCGAAGGTGTGTGTGTTTCACCACAGCCAGCCTAAAAATAAATAAATCACAAAAAAAATTTAAGCTTATGTTAAGGTCTTTACACCTCCACACCTCACCTCTCCTTGCAAAAATATCTCCACATTTGTTTCAGATTCCTGGGGAGGCAGGAGAGTTCTGGGCGCCTCTACCTCACTAGATTTGGTTTTGTGCATGTTTTCCCCATTGCTTTTGCTGTGTTTTGGGTCCGAGTCTTTCTAAGTAGACCTGGCTGTCTTGGAATTCTTGACCAGGCTGGTTTTAAACTTACAGATATCATCCTGCCTCTCTCCCAATTGCTGGCATTTAACTAAATGTGTGTGTATCCACTGCCTCTGTATTTGGCCTTTTTTTCCCCAAATATTATGTTGCCTATTTGTATACGCTTGTGCTCTTGCACACCATAGCTGGAGCACGTAGGTCAGCGCTAACCCCCTTTCCTTTCCATCTCTTTCCCTGGGTTTAGGCTGTGTTTTGCCCTCTCCTCCTTGTCTCCTTCCCCTCCCTTCCCCTTCCCTTCTCTTCCCTTTTCCTGATTCCTCCCTCCCTCCCTCTCTCCCTCCCTTCCTACACTCTGTTCCCCTACACACTCCATACTTGCCTCCTACCTGTCCATCTCTTAGTTTAGGCTCAAGCCCAAAATTGTTGGCGTGTGATCCCAGGGACTGAATCTAGGGTCTTGTGCATGCTGAGTGCTGTAACCTCTGAGCTGTATCCTAAGTCCCCGCATGCAGTCACATTTGTAACCCTTGTTGTTCACCACTTGACCACTGCAGGACCGCGTTTCCAGAATCTGCAATCCAAAAGGCCAGCACCAGAGGCGACCTCTCCCAGCCTCATATCTTCCTAACTGCCGCATTTGCGAGAGAGACTAGAATTTGACCAGAGCTTGCATTACCTCAGCATCATCAGAGCATCAGAGGAGACAGTGCAACTGCTACCACATTTGACTTCAGGTACTTGTGCTATCCCTTTCTCTCTCGAAGACAAAGCACTCCGGAAAATAAAACTTATGGGGACTTTTGGGAGTAAGGCTTAGTTCAGTTCACAGTCACGGGTTGCATAATCCATCACTCTGGGGAAGTCACAACTGCAGGGATTTGAAGCAGCTGGTCATAGGACAGCCACAGCTAGGAGCAGAGAGAGAATGACCGCATGCATACACACATCTGTCTCTACTCTATGGACATGGTACCCCAGAGCAGGGAGTACTGCCACACACTTTCAAGCTGCCTCTCTCCACACTTGCTAATGCAACCTAGGCAACCCCGACCCCAGGCAACACTGGGAGAGAAAACTAACTTTGGAGGTATCGTCCAGAGAATGGGCGCAGCTTCAATAGCTCAGTGGTTAGGAGCTATCCTTAAGCATACAATTGAGATGGCTCAGTGGTTAGGAGCATGCAGTGCTCTGATGGAGGGGCTGAGCTCAGTTTCTAGCCCTAACACAGGGTTGTTGAAAGCTGCCTGTAAAGCAAGGTCTAGGGAATCTGACGCCCTCTTCTGGACTCTTCAGGGACTGCACTCACATGGAGACAAATGTACTCACATACACATAAAAACATTTTTTTATTAAAAGGATGTAAGTAAATCCAATTTTTATTAATTGCAATATAGAAACATAATTGTTAATATTAAACCAAAATTGTAAGTTTTTCCATAGTTTTGTACTAAAGTCAAAAAGAAAGGACTAAAAACCAATTCTGGTCAGGTAAAGTTTAAAAAACATATTATGATAAACACATTTCACTCACCATCTCTGTGTGTATTGTGGTTTTTGTTTATTTGTTTTCAGACCACACCTGTTTCCTTCACGAAGAAAAATGGCTCCTATAAAGATACACGGCTTAGTCCAAATCCGAAGCAAGAACCGGAACAGGCACACCCGGGCTTCTCAGTGGAAAGAAGCAGTCATAGAAATAGTGGAGAGGAAGCAGAAGGTTACCATGGTGTTTTCCTTCAAGCTAGAAAAAAGGAAGAGGGTGTTTCAGCTGGGCAACAATGTTGCGGGTGTAGTGGTTAGCTGCTGTGAGGTGGGGTTGCACTGTCTGTATTTAACCTTGAAAGGTGACACTTCTTTACTGATTGACAAGCTATCCTCTGAGGATATTGAACAACTGAAGGCATTCCTGGATTTGGCTCATCTGTCTGATTCCCAAGACCCTGATGATCCCCAGGGGTGTCAGGATTTTCTCGAAAGCAGGCATGCATTTTGCAGGAAGCACCAGGAACCACTTTGTGGTTCCTTGAATACCGCACAAGAGAGGGAGACACCACTCCCCACGAAGACACCACTCTCGATGTCCAGATCCACCAGCAGGCAGGTCAAAAAAGAGAGAGTGGAGAAAGAGATCAAGAAGAGGAAGAGGATCTCAACGCCCAGTGTGGAAGTGGATGAAGACATCCTCACAGAATATAACCCTGAGCCACAAAAGAAGTACAAGGTCTGTACCCCCAGAAGCAGAAGGGGTAAAGGAGAGAAACCAATGGCTTCAAGAGAGCAGGAGAAACATAGCAACTGGAAGCTTGAAAATTCACTGATTGCCAGCTCCCGCAGGAAGACTAACTTCGACGACACTGTTCTTTCGGCACAAACACTTTCCGATGAAAGAAGCGGATCCAAGCTTAGCCAGGAGACACCAGCATGCAACGAAATCCAGCTTCCCCTCGACACTTACGCAAAGCAACTGAACCGTGAAGGCTTCCCCAATTTAGGGAACACCTGCTACATGAATTCCATTTTACAGTCTGTCTTTGGCATTCCAACCTTCGCTAAGGACTTGCTCACACAAGGCATCCCATGGGAGAAAGTGTCCTGTGATGATCTTATCAAGCCCTTGAGCCAACTTCTTGTCTTGAAAGATATCCGGGATGTGGAGATCAAGGGGCAGTTACTCATGACCGTGAAGAAATCAATTTCGACAGTTGCAGACACATTTCTGGGTGATGAGCAGAATGATGCCCATGAATTTTTAAGTCAGTGTTTAGAGCAGTTGAAACTGAACATGGAGAAGCTTAATGCCATGTGCAGTTCAGAGAGGGAAAATGAAGCTGCCACTTCCAAAAGGTTTATTTGTCCCGTGGCTGCTAATTTTGAGATAGAGCTGCATAGCTCCATTGTTTGTGAAGGCTGTGGGGAGGCTACTGTCAACACTGAAGTGAGTAATTATCTCTCTGTCGACCTGCCCCAGGGGACAAAGGATCACCCTCTATCCATTCAGAAGTCTCTCGATCTTTTCTTCACACCTGAAAAAATTGAGCACAATTGTGAGAATTGCAAGAACAAGAATTCTGTGCTCCGGTACACCTGGAGGAGGCTCCCCAGGGTCCTTATCGTCCATCTGAAACGCTACCACTTTACCTCCAACAGGATGTTGGTGAAGAGTCAGCAACCAGTGGAGATTTCTAAGTTCCTAAATGTATCTACCCACTGCAACGAAAACACGAAGCCACCATTTCCGGTGACCAATAAGGCCCCCAACGAAGAGTACGATGTCTCAAATTCCTCTGAAGGCACAATGCATGAGATCTTCGGCCACTCAATACCATCGATGCAGCCAACTTCGGTATCCATCGATTTCACGGTTCTCCAGGTTGGCTCCAATGAGGATTCCGACGTGCAAAACTTCCAGATAATGTGTGACGACCAGCAGCAGCTAGGCCTGGAGGGTGTTTCTGGAATAGATCCAGAGCTACTGAAGACGGAAAAATGGATGCTGTGTGAAAACGCGTCCCCAACATGGGACTCGATCATCTGCGAGCCTATCAGCTTCCAAGACCTAGGCCTTAGAGAGAAGGGTCTTCAGAAGCTACCCGAGAATCCAGAAGTTCAGAATTATAAGAAAATTAACGTCTATGGAAATCCAAACCATCACACTATCATTGAGATATGCAACAATTTTTGCGATCTCAAAGAACAAAGGTTTCTGGAAAGCACTCAAGACATAGGCAAACAGTTCCTCCAACATCATGGGAAGAGAATCCAGAAGGAGTTACTTCCTTGGGCATTACCTCAAAGTGTCAGAGGTACTCAGGGAGACACAGGGAGGAACCTGAGTAGGTATGCAGAAATGATAGATCCGAAAGGCGACGCCAGTTCCTTGGGTGCATCCGGGTACCCAGGAAATAGCAAAGTTGCGGGGAGCGACAACCCCGATGCCGCCGGTGAATCAAACGCGGCAATGGAAGATGATCCTCAGAGCTACAGGCTTGTCGGTGTGGTCAGCCATTTTGGGAGCTCCCAAGATTCAGGCCATTATGTAAGCGATGTGTATGACTTTCAGAGGCAGGCCTGGCTCCTGTACAGTGATGTCCAGGTGTTCGAGATCCCAGAGGCCTTGATTCAAGAGAATCGGCTTCACACTGGATACATTTTCTTTTACATGCAAAACGAGATTTTTGAGTGGCTGCTGAAGAAGGCATCGGAGTGCAGGTTACTGAGCACACCTAAGGATGAAAAGAAGACCATGGATCTTTTCTCCACACTGCTTAATGGCTTTACATACCTTCTAGAAGAATCGTAAAATCTACCCACGAGAATCACAAAACTCAAGATGAAAAGTCTGCCAAAAAACCCACACAAAAAACAAAAAACAAAACAAAACAACAAAAAAACCACAAAAAACAAAAAAACCAAAAAAAAGAAAGAAAAAACAAAACCATATTAGAACAGAGCCCCCGCCATCCCCAATGCAGACCATGCACCATTCTCTCCAACAAGGCTATGATGGTGCTTTTTGTGGGGTTTTGTTTCTGTTGTTTTTTTTTTTTCAAGACAGGGTTTCTCTGTGTATCCCTGGCTGTCCTGGACCTCACTGTGTACACCAGGCTGGCCTCAAACTCAGATCTACCTGCCACTGCCTCCCAAGTGCTGGGATCAATTGTGTGTGCCACCGCTGCCTTGCAATTTTTTTTAATTATTTATGTTTATTTAATGTGCAGTCCTGTTTTGCCTGCATGTACGCCTGTGTGACGCTGTTGGATTCCCTGAAGCTGGAGAAACAGGCAGTTGTGAATTCCATGTGGGTGATGGGAATTGAACCCAGATCCTCTGGAAGAACAGCCAGTGCTCTTATCTCCTGAGCCATCGCTCCAGCCCCAAGCAGGATGGACTTTCAATGTCATTCTGAACCAACACAACACAGTTAGGAACTCATTATAGGTCCAAGTGTGAGGACCCAAGATAAAAATGGGTTCAGAAACGATACTCATGGATGTAAATATTGAGGAACAGTGTGTGGAATGTCTTATTTTGTTAGTGTATGTATGAACTGCTCACGTCATTGAGAAGATTTTCATGATAGTGTTTGTTTCCCCTAAATTCATATATAGTGTGCTATTGTCAGTTTATTAAAACCATCATTTTGTATGTGTGTGTGACTCATTGCTAATGAAATTATTTGGCTATCACCAACTTGTCTTGTGTTTCTTTATTTTTTGGCGGGCAAGACATCAGGGTTACACAGGATTTGAAATAGATGGTGTGTGGAAAATTTGCAAATTCAAAACCTTCTCGGGGCTCACTGGTTAAAAAGAGCCTGTCCACTAACCCCCATGACCCAATTTCTGCATTTAGTCCTCTGACCTCTAGAAGAGCTAGAACATGTGCATATAAACACATAAATAAATGAAGGAATAAAATCTATTTAGGTTTTGAGTCTCACTATTAGCTCTGGCTGGCTTGGAACTCTCAATGTAGATCAGGCTACCCTCAAACTCACAGATCTGCCCTGCCACTGACTCCTGAGTACTGGTACTTAGAAGTCTCCACCACAATGCCTAGCATAATAACCTTTATAAACTATTCCTTAATTTTTTTTAGTACTGGGCGGTGGTGGTGCATCCACTTAATCCCAGCACTTGGGAGGCAGAGGCAGGTGGATCTCTGAGTTGGAGGCCAGCCTGGCCTACAGAATGAGTTTCAGGACAGACTCCAAAGCTAGAGACAAACCCTGTCTTGAAAAACCAAAAGAAAGAAAGAAATTCAATGTGATTCTGGTTGTAGTGGTTCACATTATTAGTCCCAGCACTGGGGAGGCAGAGGAAGGCCCATCTCTATGAGTTCAGAGCTAGCGTGCTCTATCCTGCTCTACATAGGTAGTTCCAAGACAGCCAGGACTATGTAGAGAGGAGAGAGAGAAAGCGAAAGAGAGAGAGAGAGATACAGAGAGAGAGATACATACACACACACACACACATACACAGAGAGAGAGAGAGAGAGAGAGAGAGAGAGAGAGAGAGAGAGAGAGAGATACAGAGAGAAGAAGAGGAGAGAAAGGAAAAAAAGGGAACCAGAAAGAAATTGTCATCCTCAGTTACATTGAGTTAGGCCAGATTACAGGAAACCCTCTCACAAAACAAAGCAATAATAATAACAATAATAATAAAACCAACCTGATTTAGTGGAGTCCATCCTATATGGAGAGATACCTTGCTCAACCTAGACACAGGGGTGTGTGTGTTGGCGGGGAGAGGTGTCTTGGTCCTGCCTCAAGGAGATGATGGGAAAGAATAGTAGACTTCCTAGGGGAGGCTTTACCCTCTAGGAGGAGCAGGTGAGGAGAGAATTGGGGGAAGCAGGAGGAGAGGAGGGAGGGGAAACTGTAATTGAAATGTAAAAAATAAATTAATAAAAAAAAAACAAAGAAGTTTGCCCAGGCCACACTCATACCCTCTTGCTAAGCTCCCTTCCAGGTGGTGACATAAGCAATGCCTTATTTGGTTTTGTTGAGACAGGGTTTCCCTGTGTAGCATTGGCTGTCCTGGAACTCGCTCTGTAGACCAATCTGGTCTTGAACTCCGCCTGCCTCTGCCTCCCAAGCACTGAGATGAGAGTGTGCCACCACCTCCCTGCTGTAAGAGATGTCTTAACCTGCCTCAGACACATCCCGAGACATGTCCCCGAACACCCGCTGGCCTGGCACAGTCCTCAGATACCATGTAGCAGGGGACTCTCATTGGTAGATCCTTCTCTCCTGGTTCCACAGAGACATGTGCTGAGACAAGGGTTTGAGCAGAACCTTTTCTTAGTGTTGGCCACTCACCGTGGAGGAAACTGAGCTAAGGGATCCAAGAGTAACCTACACAAGCGAGGTTCTTCATTTAGGAGCCAGAGGCGGCTGGATCTCTGAGAACTTGAGGCCAGCCTGATCTATGGAGTAGTGAGTTCCAAGCCCGCCAGAGGCTTCACCCTCCCTGGGGATAGGAATGGGGGTTGGGCGGGGGGCTGGGGGGCCTGGTGGGGGTGGCAGGAGAGGAGGGGAGGGAGAGGGAGCTGGGATTGACATGTGAAGCAAGTTTGCGTCTAATTTAAATTTAAAAAAAAAGAAAAAAGAAAGATAAAGAGGATATGTTCCATTTTAAGTCAGAAAGACCTTGAAACAGTACAGAAGTAAAATATGTTGCTTATGATTGCAACCTACTTGAACAACTCAAATGTGCTCAGCTTTAATTTGGATTTTTACAATTCTGTTATGGTCTACGTAGGAATCCATGTGGGTGTTTCCCATAGTGAAGCCATAAAGCCATTTAAACATGGAGTGGAGCTAAGCCCATGTGGACACATGAGTTTTCTAAGTCACCAATGTCTGTAAATGCTGTCACTCTACTCCTGAAGGCACAAACCTCACCATTTTGTTCTTTACTGTGAATTCCCGTAACAGTTGCTACTTGCCGCCACTAGATGGTGGTAGACACCAAACTTGAAGAAGCGGAGACAGCATGGGCTGGACCCCTGAGTGTGTGGTTCTGTCTTCTGGCCCGTTTTCTTTAGTTGAGGCAGGGTCTTCAGGCCCAGGCTGACCCTGAATTCACTCCATCTTAGTCTAAGGCAATCTTAAAGTTCTGACCATCTACCCACCATGCTCCCAGGTGCTGAAATAATCAAATACATTTCCAAGCCCAGTTCTAAGTGTACTGGGTGGTGAGCCCAGGGATTCGTGCGTATTACGCAAACACTCTACTAACCTGGCTATATCCTCACCTCTGTCTTTCCCCGTGAATTTCACTTAATGTTTGACAAGTAAAAGAAGAGGAAAAAGCGGGCGGCTCTGGAAGGCAGTAGGGATGGCTCAGCGGTTAAAAGCACCGGTTGCTCTGGCAAAGGTTCCAGGCTCAATTCCTAGGACCCACGGGGCAGCTCATAACCAACCATAACACCAGTCCCAAGAGTTCCCGTGCCTTCTTCATATGGGGCAGGCAAAAGGCTCACACACACTAGACAGACAAACCTAAGAAGATTCATTGAATACATTCTTGTTTTAATACATGCTACAGCTGCTACGCTAAGCTGTTTCCGCAGGCATTGCCGCACAGTCTTCCTTGTGTGTGAAAAGACTTGAAACATGCTTTCGTAGCGATTTCCAAGCGTTACTCAGTATCAATCACTGCTGCTGTTTTATGGTGGTGGCAGCTGTTGCTATAGTTTGAGACAGGGTCTGACTAATTATGTAACCTGGACTGACCTGGACTAGTGTGTAGACCAGGCTGGCCTGGAAATCACAGAAATCGACACGCCCCTGTCTCTGCTGGGCTGCATTTGAGACCACAGGGTGCTGAGATCCCCAAGATAGACAGCTGCTCCTGCCTCCCGAGTGCTGGGATTAAAGGCATGCGCCACCATCGGCCCCACCACACTTTGAACTTCAACTGGAAGTAAAAAGAGGGGACTGGAGAGATGGCTCAGAGGTTAAGGGCACTGGCTGCTCTTCCAGAGGTCCTGAGTTCAATTCCCAGCAACCACGTAGTGACTCACAACCATCTGTAAGGAGATCTGGTGCCTTCTTCTGGCCTGCAGGCAGACATGCAGGCCAGAAGAGCAATGTATACATAATAAACAAATACATATTTAGAAAACAGAGTACACGGGAAGTAGCACACGGCTGTTGGAATCTCAAAGTCCATCCCCAGTGGCACACGTACTCCAGCAAGGCCACACCTCTCAAGGCTCCCCCAACAGGGCTACCAACTAGAGACCAAGTATTCAATCCCATGAGACTAATGGGAAACACCATTAAATGGCACAGTTGTAAGGGCGGCGTGAAACATCCATGAAACGCTATGGCTCAGGGAACGCTTCGAAAGAGCCGAAGACCAGGCACTTGGCTGTGTGATTGTGTCTACCAATGTCACACGGGGCACCCACAATGTCTCACCAACATGACTGCCCCAGTGTGATCGGGACAAGGCACCCACAATGTCTCACCAACATGACTGCCCCAGTGTGATCGGGACAAGGAAGACACCCATACCGTGTCAAACGGGCAGCGGTTAGTAAGCCCAGGAGATCTCGGCCCTACACAAAGGGCTACGGACTATCGAGGAGTGCTGAGAGAGGGGGAAACGGTCTCCCCCAGAAAAGAGCACACCAAATGGTCATCCAATACCAAGTGGTCAGTCCTGCACACACACACAGTTGAGCATGGGTACTTATGTATTCAGGAATATATATATGTACATACATACATATATACATAGGTGTGTGTGTGTGTGTGTGTGTGTGTGTGTGCATAAAACAATGAAAAGGGAGACCACGAAAGAGAGCCAAGAGGCATCTATGGGAGGCTTTGGAGGGAGGAAAGGTTGGGTGTGAAGGAATTATATTAGAATCCCATAAAATAGAGAGGGGGAGTAGGTCATGGGGGAACAGGAAGGTTGAATGG